TTATGCCATTTATATATGTACTGTATATGTGTTTTTCTTCAGTAATCTTTTAAACAAACTGAGGAGTTTATGTGAGCCTCCATTCTCTAGGGCTGTATATATTATATATTTATGAGACCATTAGTGACACCTTGCACTGCACGTGACATTGCATCCTTAGCCAAGATAATTAATGAGACCACTGACGTGTTGCTGGGACACGAGTATAAACACCCAGCTGGTGACCTCAGGACAGATCAGATAAAGCAAGAGAAAATGTTTGTGTCAGAACAGGCAGGTTTAGGTGAGTTATAAGAAGCTTGAACCTCACCACTCGCTAGGGGTGTATAAGGCCAGCCCTTAGTTGACTGGGGGAGCCCAAGGGCGAGCAGTGGCGCCTGGTACTGAGGGGCTAAGACCTGTGGAACGACCCCAACCACAGGTTGGAAAAGGGTGAACTCTGACAATTACCCAGTACTAACCAGTAAAAAGTCTGTGCAGAGATTTATTAGGATGTGTGATGTATAGGAGATATTGTAAAAACTTTTCCATTGTTGCTGCACCTATAACCAATCTTCTAAGGAAGCAGGTAAAATTCAAGTGGACGCAGGAGTGTCAGAACTCTTTTCAGAAGTTGAAAGGAATTCTCTCAACCTCACCTGTGCTAAGCAGTCCACAGTATGATAAACCATTTATTCTGCACATAGACGCTTCGGATCTAAGAGCAGGTGCTGTTTTGTTCCAAGTAGGACCAGGTGATTTAGAACATCCTGTATATTATTTCTCTCGTAAATTTGACAGGACACAACTAATTATTCTGTGGTTGAGAAAGAAGCACTTTGGTTGATCTTGGCAGTTAAGAAGTTTGAGACATACTTGTGATGCAATCAAGTTGTAGTATATACAGATCATAATTGTTACGGACCCGAGCCCAGCGTCCGAGCACGGAGCAGTGACAACCGCGCCATCTGTGGGTCAGCTCCCGAAACCCCCTCCAAATGGACGACGCCATCTAGTGAGGACGAGATACACTGGCCACAAGGGCTAGTTTCCCGTCCTGATCAGCTCATAACACAGCCGCTGCTGACCTCTGGTGAGGTGACGCTTGGACAGCAACGCCATCTATGGAGTGGATAGGTGGGCGTTTGTGTCTAAGCCTGTAAGTGAGTTGCCCTAGAGTGTAACCGGTACTGATGACGTGTCTGATTACAGAGTCGACCTGGGACTGCTGTAATGAACGTTGGATGAGTCTACCCATGGCAGCTGTAGAACCTCCACGCATTTGCTGTAGAAGTTGTGAGTCACCCCCCCCCCCCCCCCCGGATGAACACTGTTGTGTTAGCCTGCCTGTGACGTGGCAGTTGAGGATTTGTCGTACCCGGGACTGACTGGTGGAGAAGACTAACCACTGGGGTGTTGTGGTGAGGAGAGTGATCTGTGTAATCACAGGAGGCTCCTGCCTAGGCCTCGCAACCCTGGTATCGGTCGTGGAGTGGCCTACGCAGCGTTGCTGATTGGAACCTGCCAGCTAAAGGCTGGACTTGTGGTTGACGGCCTCCACGACGGTGCACCCAGTGGGACTGTGATTTGGCTGGCCTGTGGCTGGGGTAGACTCGCTGGGAGGATCTAAGAATTCGTCTAGAGGCCACAAGAAGAGAACCAGGGCTACTCGTCTTGAGCACCGTTAAGCAGAGCATCCTGTGTCTTCAGAAGAAGACAAGACGTGTACATAAGTGTAGTTATAGTAACAGTGTGTGACTGTTTACATATTTATTTATTGGTGGTGATGAATATACATTTATTTCTGAGCAGTTTTATCCCTTCCCCTTTAATTTACTTGCGTTACGGAGCACACCTTTTGAAAGCCACTACTAGCTTGGGGCCGGATACCCAAACTCTACTAACATCAGAGAAAGAACCCAGTTGCGACCCAAGAGGGCCGTAACAATAATCCATTGACATTCATTAACTCCATGAAATGTAAAAACCAGAGAATACTTAAATGGTCATTGATTCTGCAAGAATTCAATATTGTAATTCGTCATATTCCTGGGAGGCAAAATGTTATTGCTGATGCCTTATCCAGAGGAATTCCTAGTGCAGTGCCATAATATGAAGTGTTCTGTATTCATAAGATGCTTTTTTTTTGGATTTTGTTACTGTGTGAAATTTCATTGTTTTAAAATTTGATCTTTTGTTGAAGTATCTTCATGTTATATTTTCACGTTATATTTCATGCAGTCAAAAAAAGAAATCAACCTTCAGTTAATTTAATTTTTTCTTAAGGACCGGGAGGGATGTTACGAATCTAGCATTGATTCTAACATTATTTTCATAATTATGCCTAGCATTATATACTTTCCCTGTTCTGTTCTATTATTAGTATAGTATCCATTTGTGTTCCATTTAATATTGTATGATTTTTATAATATTGTATGATGTATTTTGTAGCATGCTGTAGTGTGCCTCAGTTGCATTAATTTTGATAGGCTTGTGCAAGTTATTTCTTGTTGGAGGGAGTGTGGTTTCTCCTTGGGGGGGGGGATGACCATATTTGGATGTGTCCAGAGTGCGGCTTGTTGTCAAGCTAGCGTTTATATTTCAATCTTGATTATTTCCTGTTATTGAGTGTAATAAATTCATTTGATTATTGTAACAGTATTATATACTCTTAAGATTACTGATTATATGGTTCTTAGTACTACACTTTGTAAGTAGAGTTTTCACGAGAGTTCATGTGGATGCTTAGTTGATGTTTTGGTAGGACGGCTGCTTTGCTGATGGGCAACCCGTTCTCCCACTTGCTTATGGTCAATATTGGCTTATTTAATAAGTGCATATGTGACATACTAATTGATTGTAAATATTTTAGTTTACCTTGAAAAGCTTCATAGAAAACACCGACCTCACCTAACCTTCTTAGTATGTTAAGATAAGCATCTTATTGCTTCTTATTTACAAATATTACTTAACCTATCAACAGTATAGGTTAAGTAATAATTGTAATTAAGAAGCAATTAGATGCTTATCTTAACATTCTAAGAAGGTTAGGTGAGGTCGGTGTTTTCTATGAAGCTTTTAAAGGTAAACTAAAATATTTACAATCAATTAGTATGTCACATATGCACTTATTAAATAAGCCGGTATTGACTAAAAGCAAGTGCGAGAACGGGTTGTGGCGGGAGGCTAGGTAGTCGAGTGGGCGAGCTGCATGGGAGGAGACATGTACTGAAGTTAAGTCAGTGGATATTGTTTATTTAGCTCTCTTGGTAAGACAATTCTCTTGGTAAGACTATTTTGCGATATTCCATTTATAAATTCATGTGTTTAAGAGATTGTCTGTGCTCATTAAGGATTTTTTTATATTATTGCATGCTGAAGAATATTTCTGGCTGTTATATTTTTATCATTTATATGTTGATATGTTTGTCACCCTTATGTACAGTTTATTGTTTGCCCCTTTTAAAGCAGTGTTTTTCTTATAATACCCTTTTACATATTACTATCCCCTAGACGAAACTTTAAGATGAGGCCAAAACATATATAGTTGATCACTTGAGGCAAAGGCGTCAAGGTCTGTAACACCCCCCACCGCCAAATGTGTGGAATGGGTAACACCTGGCAGGAAATTAATCTAGCAAATACAGTCAACTTAGAAAAACAGTCCACCTGTTAATTTAATAATTTAACTCAAATTTAGAAATAAATTATTTAATAATAATAAATTGAAAATATTCCTGCTAGGAAATTCCCCCACAGGAGGAAAGGTGGTAAAGAGTAGAGAAGGTCGTGAAGTATAGGGAAGGTGGGGAAAAGGGTATGGAAGGAGGTGAAGCATAAGGAAGGTGGTGAAATGTAGGGAAGGTGTTGAAGGGTGTTATGACCCTTGACCTCTGGGTATGGTTCCTCTGATTTGCAGTTGTAAAAAATATATAATAAAACGGCATTGCCAACTAAAAGTATCTAGGGTAAATAATTCAGCTTCTGACTCAACAAAGCAATATACTAAAAGTAAGGGTAACAAAGAACATACAAACATATAAATGGAAATACAACCAGCCAGATATATTAATGCACCAGAATACAATAACACAATATCATTATATAAGCACTGATCACTATTTTAAAACTTAAATGGATAGATGGGTATGCAAATAATGGTCTAACCAGGCAATTAGCTATGTTACTAAACAATAAACAGGTACCACAGACTTTACTCAACAACATGTCCATGGCAGCAAGCTCCACCCACGCGACTGGAGTTGCTGGAGCATGCTCGGCATGATGTCTACAAGTTACCAAGTAAAACCCACATGAAATCTCTAGATACTCTGCTATCAGAGAGTAATACTTAAGAACATAATTATAACTAAACTAATATGCATATAACACTGCTAAGGTCTAATTAAGAAATTAAGTACAATCAATAAACTGGAAAAATTACAGAGGTGAATCAGTGACACTAGGTTGATACACTGCATGCATTACTGGAACATCCCCAATATCGTCATCCCCAAATGAGACACTGTTACGAACCTTACCTCCTGTGGAGGTTGGTTTCGGTTGTAAAATGTTGGTGGACACAGTGTAGAGTGTTTATTAGACTAAATCCACAGCTGAGATCAGAGAGGCCGCGAGTCATCATTATTACTCCGCCCAGTAAAGTAGTGCCTTCTCAGCTGGAGATCATCAGAAATAATGTGAACTTGAATAGCTTTACTATGTAAGGGAAAAATGGACTCTATAAAAAAGTATGCATGGGGGAAATGAAATGAAAATGTCCATAGAGTTGGAGAGCAGAGGATGGAAGAACGGGGCGAGGTTGCAGAAATCTTGAGCAAGGATCTGGAGATGAGGTGAAGAGGGGAGATGAAAGATCGGTGGCCCAACCACCGCGGATTAGAACTTGAGTAGATGGAAGTAGAATTGAGTAGGGCGTCATTTGCAGTCCACACAGAGGCCAGGAACGCAAGCAGCTGGCAGTTGATGGTAATTGAAGGTTGATTACTTCATTGGTTTACTTCTTTCTTGATGGTGGGAGCAAGCTCTGATCTTTGGTCTTTGTTTTCGGCTTGTCTTTCTTGGCGGTCCGACTTCGTGTTGACATTGCTGTGGGATCAATAGAGTCATAAAGAAAATCGGCAGATGAATAGTTGTCTTTCTGTGAAGGTGGAGATGTCGTTCCCACAGAGACATCCTCATCTGATGAGTCAGATGAGTACATACCAGGAGATGTGGGTCTTGGAAGTAATGTTCCTGATGGTTTAGTAGCAGCAGTAGGACTTGTTGCAGATGTAGAAGGTTCAGTGGATGTATGTACTGTGGGTGGAGATGTAACAGGAGATGGTGGATGAGAAGTCGTCGGCTTCTGGGTTGCTACCATGCCAGGAGCAGATGTTGCAGCTACAGTAGGTTCAGTATCGTTCACAGCAATGTCCGAGGCCGGACCAGGAGCTGGAGCATCATCCGACAATGGGTTTGAAGGGTCGGGAACTAGTACAGTGGTCCCTGAAGGTTTGGTATGAAGAGGTGCTGGGTTGAAGGTTCATTGCCCGTTCGTTCTTGAATTTCTTTCTTTATCATAGCGGCGTGTTTCGGATATTTCACGTAGTATTGAGGGTCAATAATGGCAGGGTGGAGCATGGTAACATCAGTGCAGTAACGAACTGTGTCAGCCTCAACGTACCAAAACTGTCTGCGGGTTCCGTCATCGTTCAGTCCGTTTTCGTAGTCGATGTTCCACTCCCGAGCTGCGACACGTTTCTAAGAAATATTAAATTTCAGGTCTCTAGGGCAATTGTAAGACGCATAAACAGGAGCAGGAGGGTCGTTGTCTTGTGTGGAGAGACTAATAGCCCCTACTGGGTCTGGTGTAGGGTCAGCAGCAACTGGAGTAGTGGGTGGTACAGTGGCAGACAGTAGGTCAACAAGTGCGGCAGCGTTTACAGTGATTTCCGGCTCAGTAACTGAGGTGGAAGCTGAGGCAGAGGTGGGGAAGACTTCGTCAGGTACGGTGATGGTCTGGAGTCCGTTAGCCTTGTAGACGATATTTAAAATCCTCACAAATTCTCGGTAGTTGGAACCAGTAATGTCACTCACTAGTTTCGTGATAGCATGTGCAGTGCTAAGGTCGGTGACAGTAACCGGCAACTGCCGTGGCGAAGTCTGAGTCGACGAATGGGAGGAGCCTGGTGGTGGAGGTGGAGGCTGGGTCTGTGATTGGTTAGCTGGTTGGCTGCCGGACTGCATGCCGGGTCCCCATTGGTTGGTACGTTGGTGGGCGGCTACTCCTTCTCCCGGGAGCTCCGAAAAAATGGCGGCTGAATATAGTAAATAAAATCATTAATGTGTTTGATAGCTTATGTAAAGAGTAGAGTGTTAAGGGGCGATGAGGCAAGAGAGGTGGACGCCATCTTGACTGAAGGGGGAGGTGTATCGCTGCTGACCGTTCCTGCTATTTGAGGGGTTTTCTCCGGCCGTTCAGTCAGATAAGCCTATCCTTATCTATATCCCGGGTTGCAAGATTGGGTAGAGTAATATTGCAGAAGTTGGAGAGGTTTTATAAGAGTCCAGGTTTCCTAGAGGCAAAAATATGTGTGTCGTTGGATGGTAGCGGTTTGTGGCAGGGTGCATGACACCAGGAATGGGACAGTGAGCCGTGGGGTAGTCAGAGCCACTTGAGTGGCTCTGACCACTTAGTGATCAGAGTGATACATAGTGATCTTATGTTGTAAGGAAAACGCCTTGTTAAATGTAATCCTGTGACTTGTACGTATAAACTTGTGTACTAGGCTGTTTCCCTTACTCCTCATACACCCGAGACAACCTTGTAAGGACCACCACCACCAAACTCGCACTAGCTCTCTATGACAACAAAAACGTATTACGGCTGATAACATCAGTAACACACCCTCCGTGATAGAATTGGGTAGCCTGTCCGAGAGCACCTTACATATTGAGCAGCCTGATCGAAAGCGTAATAAAAGTGGATAGCCTGTAGATGTAACCTGATATAAAAATTGTGTAGCTTATTTTTTTTTTACTTTAACTTGTGTAGAAATTTAGAATATTTTTAATATGGGTATAATATGAATATGTACTTCATAACTTATTTATGTACATTTTATTAATCTTTATGAAAAGTGTTTTAAGAATTTTTGTGCGTGATCTCGAGTGCAAAAAAATTTACCAGTTGACAGGGTAGTCAAGTAAACTAAGCACTGTCCTTATCAGTTTTCTAAACAAATTCTCAGCCTAAAAAGAGAAAGGTGGGTGCAGAATTATAAATTGTGTTGGAGTCTGCTGTATCTTTGCACACTAAAAAATGGATTTGGTAGCACAACAAATTGTCGACAATCATAGTGTTGAGGGTTTGAAAGCGGCCAAAAAGTCTATCCTAGTGGCTGTTGGCAAGCACTATGGACTATTATTGCACATGGGAATGGTGAAGACGGAACTGCTAAGAGAAATAATGATACACTGGGTAGATGAGCAAATTCTCCCACAGGAAATATTAGAGCAGTCCCCGTCCACCAGTGGTGCAAATGTTGTAACTACAGGAAAGGTAGAGACTCAGATGCAGTGGCAGGCAGAATTGGAACTAAAGAAGTTGTAGTTAGAGGCAGAGCAAGCTCAGAAGAGGATAGAGGCAGTGCAAGCTCATGAACTAGCTATGAAGAGTTTAGAAGTGGAGCTAGCTCAGAAAAAGATAGAGTTACAGATTAAGCTAGCAGATTTGGGAATTAGATCAGAAAATACCGGTGTTGACGATTTAGGAACACCTGGGCAGTTAAAGATTCACAAAAATGTCAAGTTTCCTCTATTCTGTGAGTCTGACCCAGACCAATTCTTCATACATTTTGAAAAGTTGGCACAGAGTATGAAGTGGCCTGAAATACAATGGGTATCTCTTCTTCAAGGTCAGTTGGTGGGAAAGGCACAGAAGATATTTGCAGCTATACCTTTGAGTGACAGTTTTGACTATGATAAGGTAAAAGCAGCCATCCTTACTGCTTATCAACTTGTTCCTGAGGCTTATAGGCAGAAGTTTAGACAACTGAGACGAGACCCAAGTCAAACTTTGGTAGAATTTGCACAAGAGAAATATCTTATGTTTAATAAATGGTTAGATGCAGAAAAAATTAGGGATCTGGACTCTCTTAAAAATTTACTCCTAGTAGAAGAATTTTTATCTTGCATACCTTCTATTGTGGCTTTGTATTTGGCAGAGAAATTTCCCAGAGATATCTATGAGCTGGCTAAATTAGCAGATGAATATGAGTTGATGCATAAAGTAACTTTTGAAAATAAAATTCAATCAAATAGACAAGGATCTGGTCGAGCAGTAAACTCCTCAGTCAGATTTGGGTCCCACATGTACCCAACAGCAGGTCAAGGAAACACTTTTTCAAAGGTGCCAGGTGGTAAAGAGAGTAATGTGAAACCCAAACAGGATCACACTAGTAATAAGCCTCACCCAGAGTTGAAACAGTGTTCCTACGGCCATAGGAATGGTCATGTTGTTAAGAGTTGTTGGTTTCTCCACCCAGAAAAGAGGCCTATGGCACTCACAATGTGTGATGGGAGGAAAACCAAAGGTGTAACAAAAATAATGGGGAAAAAAGCACTTGCTATAAATCATTTTGGAGAGTTTATATCAAATGGGAAATTACAGTGTGCAAATGGTTTGTGGCATGATGTTAAAATTTTGAGGGATATAGGAGCATCCCAATCTTTATTATTAAAGAGTGTTACAATATATACAGTCTACAGAGACTGGGGAGGTAATGATTATACAGGGAATCATAGGAGATTTCCAGACTGTACAATTGAGAGAAGTAAATCTAGACTGTGATTTTATTAAAGGCAAAAGTTTAGTAGGTGTTAGTCCTAAATTACTAGTTGCTGGCATTGATCTAATTGTGGGGAATGATCTTGCTGGTAATAGAGTTAAAAGAGATGACCACCCAATAATGCTAACTAAGCCAGAGGTGATTAGGGCATGGACAGAGCCTGAGGACAAGGTAATGTACCGAGCATGTGCCGTGACCCAGTCAAAATCAGAGTCTCAAATATCACAAACTCCCAATAATGCAAGTCAGGAGACAAAATTAGAGGTTAACAAATCAAATAGTGAAGTGGATATTTGTGACACTTTTATGGCCAAGTTGGAAGAAGCAGATGGGAACAGGATGGGGAGCACCTCCACCAAACCACCTAGGAAAAGGGGTAGGGGAGAGTGTAGTCCAGTTACCACTTTTGGCTCTTCAGACTTGAGATCAAAATCAAATTTTATTCATCAGCAAAGAACTGATCCTACGTTGACTGACTTGCATAATAAGGCAGTAACTAAACTAGAAGCAGAATCGGAGGCTATGACTTATTACTACACTAAAAAGGTGTTGATGCGGAAGTGGAGACCTAGGATCTCACCTGTGTCACACACTTGGGAGGTAGTTAATCAAGTAGTCCTACCGAGGGGTTATAGAAAAAAAGTGCTAAGTGTAGCCCATGATTCACCAATAGGCGGTCATCAGGGTATTGCAAAAACATATAATAAAATAAGCAAGTACTTTACCTGGCCTGGATTAAAGAAAGATGTCATCCAGTATTGTAATGAATGTCCAGTATGTATAAAAACTGGCAAACCAAACCAGGTAATACCAATAGCTCCTTTACAGCCAATTGTGGTAGCCGAGGAACCCTTTACCCATATTATTGTTGATGTAGTAGGCCCATTGCCTAGAACCAAGAGTGGTAATATGTATATCATCACCATGATGTGTCAGACTACATGCTTTCCTGAGGCATTCCCTGTGAGAAATGCTACAACGAAAGTTGTAGTAAGGCACATAATGAAATATTGTACTATTTTTGGTTTACCAAAAATAATACAGACAGATAATGGGGCAAATTTCACTTCCAAAGGTTTTCAGCAGTTTTGTGAGGAGTTTGGCATCCTCCATGAGACATCCACTACTTACCATCCGGAGACCCAAGGTGCTTTGGAAAGGATGCACCAAACCCTTAAGCAAATTCTGAGAACCAGTGGCATGGAAACTGGCAGAGACTGGGATGATGGTCTTCCACTGATGCTCATGGCACTGAGGGATACTTATCAAGAGTCCCTGGGGTGTTCACCCAACTCATTAGTTTTTGGCAATGAGGCGAGAAGTCCACTAACCATCTTAAGAGATAAGTTGGTTGGAAATCCAAAGAGTGTTGTGCAGGTAAACTATATTCATGACTTACAAGATAAGTTAAATAAAAACAGGGCTAAAGCCTTAATTCATCTTAAAGAAGCTCAAGGAAAAATGAAGGCACAGTACGACAAAAAGACAAAGCAACGACATTTTGAGGCAGGTGATAAAGTGGTGGTACTAATGGCACGACACGGACCCACATTGTTGCATAGGTTCCAAGGTCCTTATACAGTGATAAAGAAACTCAGTCCCACCAATTATGTAATCCAAACACCTGATCTCAAGAGAAAGGAAATAGTAGTGCATGTGAATAGGATGAAACTAACACAGAAGGGAACTACCAATACCAACCAGGTGCTTAGTGTAGCCCATGTAGATGAGAATAATGGGGAATGTGATTTTAATAGTGTACCTACTGCTCATGTACCTTATTTTAGCAATGGGGAGTGGTTGGCTATTGTCCAGAAAATGGTGGAACATTTGTCATCAGAGCAGAAGCAGGACTTGGA